TAATCTAAAATATTTAGCATTCATGGTGATAATTACTGTTTTAATATAGATGTTTACCTGTTAGTTTAATAAAATTTAATTTTCCTTTCTCATTACTGTGGAAAGTATTATTTCGTGTGCCATAAAAAGGCTTTCTTACATATATTGGTACTCCTTTTTTATTTTAGATCTCTGTTTAAAAATGCGGTGATCTGTACAGAATGCTTCCAGTGTAAAATATTTTTAAAACTCTTAATAAAATAAAATGCTTGGTGAATGCTAAATTTACAAGTGTTCTTTTAACTAGCTTTGAGGCCATACTTTTACAGATGTGTTGAATACGGGTAGTTTTATTAGTGTAATATCCCAAATCTGAATAGTGTTACATGTCCCTACAGTAGGAATATCGCTGGAGTGAGGCAGAGCCCCATTGACTTCATTGGGATCATTGTGGAACTGAGCATCTGCCCATTTGGTTCTGGACTTTTTGCTTCTTTTGAGTGGAAATATTCCAGCTGATGGAGTAAATTTAACTTCACTTCGAACACAGTAGCTGTTTTCGCAAAAACAACAATATTTAGAATGATTGAACTGCAACAAGTCAAGAAATGCCTCCTATTAACATAACTTTTTTAACTGCGAGAGTCAGGTTTTGGTTCAAAAAATACTGTTGACTTCTTGGAGTTTGTTAACAGTGGTCCCAGAGTACCATTTTTTGGCGTGTTTTGCTGCATCATGATCTAGCTAGTATGAGATTAATGCTGCTGTAATTATGATCTGGGATGTTCTTAGCAAACTCTGACAAGTCTCCAAAATTTCGTAGACCCTATAAGCACTTTCACTAAAGGGTATATTTACCTACAATACAATATACTAGGCACCTATTCTTGTAGCCTTCTTAATAGGAGCATATGGCACATATATTTGTCTTTGAGAGGCCTAGATTTTTAGTTGCTTTTATACCTTGTTTTGGGGACTTTTTGGTTTTATTTTTTGTACCTGTTCTTAAACCACAAAGAGGATATTGCTGTATCCACTTGAAGCTTTGTAGAGGCTAGTGGGACCAGAGTTGAAAAATTGCCCCTAAATAATTGAATACAAATTATTCAGGATCTTAGTTTTATGTTTCATTGAAAAGACCTTAACGCTGGTTCAGTACTGCCAGAGAGGGAAGAATGCTGCCTAATGAATGAACAACACTTCTGGTGTTTTTCTTGTGATGAGATCACTGCCTGACGTGATATGGCAACAGGCAGGTAAAGCTGATTTCCTCTGTCTCTTGATGATAGACCATGAATGGAAGGAGAATAAAGTCAAGTTCTGACAAACCCCATTTGTAGCTGGCTTACTAGGCATTTCTGAGAAAACGTATTACAGAAAAAATTGTCACTGTTCAAAATCATTCTGGACCCCACAGAGATTTATGCATAATCGGGTGAACAAACAATTGGGTTGTGAGATCAAGTTTTTTTTAATGTCAGAATGCTGTTTACGTTTAACTTTTGAACAGAGTCACTAATTTTAATTCATAAAGATGTGAATTTATATGGGTTTAACTTTCTGAGGAAGTTATTGTGTGGAGTAAGTATGGCTTTGGAGACCACAATGCAAGATTTTTGATTGACTACCGTATGATGCATTGTTAATGGAGTCAGTAGAGTGTCTCATGGGCTTTAAAAGTAGTGATGTCTATATTCTACTGGGAGATAAAATTATATCCTTGGCCAACAGTGCCAGTAATAAAACATTTCATGCGCCGAATCAAATGGAGAGGAACGTAATATGGAACTCTGAAAACTTAGTTTTTAAAACCAGAATAAAATCCGAAAGTTTGAGTGTATTTAGACAGTGGTAAATCAGGGGAGCAGAAGAGGGAATCACTATACAATGAAAAAAGTGTTAATTTTGTAATGTTTAATAAACAATTAAACAAAAATGTAATTGTAAATGAAGTAACATTATTAAGCTGTCAAAATAGGACTTTTTTGTATGTGTATTGTTAGGATTTTCTATAAATGTTATACTTTGAGAACACAAAGGTTGAAAGATAAACAAAGATGCCACCCTAATCATTCTAAATTTTATGTCCACATTATCTGGTAGATGGATTTTGACTATTAATTTGGTTTTGTATGTTTTCTCTGTGTGATATTTGTGCATTATTAGATGACTAGACTGGCCAAGGCAGACCTGTTACACTTGCCTGAGTTAGGCATTGTTTGCCATGCCACTAAACCTGCCGCCAAGTGAAACCTTCATGGGGGAAATGAGATCGAAGTCTGGCCTGCTGAAGATGGACGCCCTGTCTCTGTTTTTATTTTATTTTGCTTTCTTTCCTTTGTTTCTTTTATTTTTATTTTTATTTTATTTTGTCCCTTTTTTTGTTTTGTTCTGTTAAATCTCTTTCCCTTGTACTTGTGAACTGGTACTTCAGTTCTGTAAAAATGGTGTTTTGTAAAGGGTTCACAGTGTTTCATTTTGAAGTTGACCTGAAGCTGCTTATGATTGGTGGATGGTATACACAGGATTTAGAATATGATTAACTTTCATGTTGTGAATAACTGATAAATTTGATTTGGAATACATTTAAGCATCTAAATTCAACAGATGAGCACATTGTGTCAGCAGACAGGAGTAGTGAAAAATATATCAGTTTAAGATATGTTCTTTCATATGTTATGCTTTATGAGCTTATCTTGAAAAAGGACAGTTGAAACACTTCTGGAGAAATTAACTTTACAAAGTAAAGTCATGATCTTTCTCTGCTTTTCCTCTTCTCAGCAGAGTAGTTTTATTTTAGGTTGCATGGTATGTTTAAAAGAAGTCTTTATGTCTAATTTATGAAGAGTTTGAAATAATTATTTCTGAAATTAGACTTTCATGAGTATGGAATGTCATGAAGTACATGTTTGGTACTGATGAAACCTTGCTCCAGTGAGGTCAGTGGCAGTAAGATTTCATCGTTTTGTTTTTGTAATTTTCAGAAAAAACTGTTTACCACTCATAAGTACAAATGCAGCCTGAAGTTTTGGTTGGAATGTGTTATGTGAGGCACATTGTCTTTTAACACTGTTATTTGTGGGAAGATTGAATCAGTTCTGTGTGTGTGTATGTGTGTGTATATTGTACTTTGACATGCTCCAGTGGTGATTATTATAAGAAGAAAAGAGAAAAATGTGTCGTCTTGGTCATCTCAGAATCTCAGAAGCCTTGGCAGTTCATGCTGGAGTGATTGAGAGGGTTCTCATCTCTAAATGATGTTCTTACTTATGTGAAACAGAAGCCCTGAAACTGAAGTGGTGGAGCAGGAGGTGGTGTGTCGAGTACTCGGGCACTGCTCTTCCCAGCCAGCTGCACTGGGATTAACTGGTGTCACTGGTAATGCACCAGACTCTGTGCTACTGCTGGGAAGAGCTTTGCTTCATGATCTCTGTTGGATTTAGCTGTGGCAATTGAGGTGATTGCAAGTAGGTGTAATCTCTTTAATTACTGCTGCTAAATCCAATAAGAATCATGAATTGGATCACACAGAAATTACTTTATTTGTAAGTGTACATTTTCCATTGATTTAAAATAATAGGAAAATAACAGTTCCTTTATGTCTAGAGTAGATATGAACTGTAAGTATTTTTAAAACAAGCAAACTTACTTACTGCAGAAGCAGTTTTGGGGGGGAGGATTAACCATGTAGTTATGTAGTTTCAGTAGAAAGAGTAGGAAATTAATTTCTTCTGAGCACTTGGAGGGGATCAAAATATTGTAAACAGTACTTGCTTAACACAGGTACTTCTGTTTAGCATAAAGCAAAATGGATTCTGGTATGCACTAGGTTGACTAGGGCTCTTAAGCACTTTGATTGTTACTTTTCTGTATCATCATAACTTATATTTAGGACAACTGTACGTTTCCTAAGAATCTTAAGCTGTCTCTAGGCAATGCAGAGCTAATCTATCTCTGCTTCCGGATTTCTTTGCATAGTGAAAAATCAATAAATAAATGGTCATAGAATCTTTGATTTTCTAAACACAAAAGCTTCTAAGAAATCTTTCTAGGGATGTATTATAGATATAGCATATTTATGTTGTCTGTTGACCTCACTAGAAAATAAATATCTTTACCTCATTTCTACTCGACTTTTAAAAACCATGAGTTTAGAAAATTTTCAAAAGAGTTATTCTTAAACTATAGTGTCCTAATTTGTTGGTCATAGCCCACATGTTTTGTTGCATTTTTGTGGGCTTATATTCCTTTTGTAAAGAAATTATTGGAGGTAAAACTCAAAACTTCAAGCTTGTAACTTGTGAGGTTATTTGGCCTCGCATATTAATTTGTTTTTCAAAACTGTTTAAAGAACAGGGAAGTAAGTTTGCAAGATATTTCATG